CTTTTGAAAACAGAGTGTACTTATTAGTGTGGCTGAAAGAGGGTCTTTGTGGTGACAGAAGATGGAGAAAAACTCGGAGAGGTAGAGGGTCAGAGAGACGGAGTATAATATAACTAGAACAAAACCGACTACATACCATTAAAACCATGGAACAGCTGCTAGTTAATTTAGCTAACCACAGTACAAATGTATTTAGTTATTCCAAAGTTACACTTGCTGTCTGGGATATTCCCTGTGTCTCACTTGTTCCTGACTCTCCCTGCAACAAATATATGTGAACACAGAGCTGTCTTCAATGCAAACTCGGATGACATGCTTTTGGTCTAACAAAGTCTTTTACTATGTGAGTTATAGAATTTACTACGTCTAGTAGTTATCCATACAACTTACAAGCTCGTCCTCCTCAGTTTGTTCTACTACTTCTCCTGTGACCTCTGTTCTCTTCTTCTTAAAATACTGCAGGATGCTCATCTCTGTGTGAAAATTTTGACTACTTTTCAGTTGTTTATGGACACGAAGCAGAGACACAAGTTTTTAAAAAAGTGGCCCAGGAGTTTGTCCCTGGTCAGCACACTCTCCAGAAATACAAATACATTTTCAAAACTAGAAACCCCTCTCTAGCTCTCCTAAAGTAAAGTAATCACTTCAGCTGAGCCCTTGAGTAGATAACTAGGCCTAAATAAGTCATATCATCATCAATCTTACCATAAACTGGTGCTTTGGACTGTGCTGGCTTTGACTCTGTTCTGCTCTTGCCCTCATCTCTGCTGTCTCATGTTCACCATATCAGCGCTAGTACTGGTGCCACTGGCGAGTGGTGGGTAGAGTACTCAAAATCTTTACTCAAGAAAAAGTACAATTACTCCCATTAAAAGTGGAAAAAATTACAAACCTACTCATGTAAAAATGTAATAATATATTTCATCTGCTGTTCATCAGGTTAGAATCAGCTGCAACATTGTTATTTCTAATAGGGAATGCAATTTGCTTTGCTGGTTGATTATCTTTAGCTATTTCTGTTTAAAACACTTAATTTCTTTTTTTAAATCTCCATGAAGGTGTTGATAAGATCACTTTAAAATATCAGCTTGCTGCCCAGCCACTATTGTTGCCTGTATCTTTTATTATGGACATGTAGCCAACCAAACCACTTGTTTTGCAGTAGCACAGGCAGCCAAAACAATCTGATTATTCCTAAATTATTCCCACTGTGACCCATCCACTGTTGTGTCCCTGAGCAAGACACTTAACCCCTAATTGCTCCAGAGGCGTGCGACCTCTGACATGAATAACAATTGTAAGTCGCTTTGGAAAAAAAAAAGCGTCATGTAAATGTACAGGTGCTGGTCATATAATTAGAATATAATCAAATAGGTGATTATTGGGGCGGCTGTGGCTCAGGTGGTAGAGCGGGTTGCCCGTTAATCTGAAGGTCGGCGGTTCAATCTCCAGCTCCTCCAGGCTGTTCCGCCAGTGTATGAATGTGTGTGAATGAAAGTTTCTGTTTGAGCACTTAGGCTCAGTATGTGAATGCAGATGTAGTGTAAAAGTGCTTTGAGTGGTTGGAAAGGTACTATACTATTGTTTCTGCTAGGGCCGAATAGTTGAAGGATTTGATGCTTCAATGGGCGCAGCCTGATTCCACTGTCAATCTCACAGTCGAAGCTTTGCAGCGAAACAAGGATCATGCCATTTTGGCGATATGAGGGTGCTCAACGTCTGGTTTTACATAGAACTACCAGTTTTCTGACAATAAGTTAATATACAGCCTATTACAATATACATTTCAACATTTAATGCTGTATATAAACGTGAATAAATCCAAAATTGTAACCCTGGGTCGTCAGTGCGCATGTGTAGGTGTAGCGTGTGTGGTGGCAGAGGAGGAACACTTGCAGAAGAGAAGGAGCCCCAGCTTCACTGGTGTTGTGCCGAGTTGTCCGCACCTCGTGGGACCTTCGGATAATTTATCACCATTTATGAACCACACAAAGAATATTATATTGTTTTTAAGCAGCCGGCTACTTGAAATAGACCCGTGAGGAACAGCGACTGCATGCAGTTGTGCAGCACGGCATGAACGCAAAACTGTGCACAAGACCGATGAATGGCAGGCGAGAGAGAGAGAGAGAAAATGGTGAACAATAAGCCTCAGTTTAGCTTTGGCTCGCAATCGCCATGCACAAAAACACGTATGATTCGACTATAGGCAGGACTTGACAATTCTGATTCAACTATGTAAATCCTTAGTTGGGGACAGCCCTAGTTTCTGCACTTAAATCCACTCCTGCCTTGGCGCTCACCCAACCAGAGAAAGACATTCTGGCCAAAGGATTAAACTTTGCCATTACACCACAGCAGCTACCTATAGTGGACCTCATCAGAGCCACAGAATCGGCCATTAGGAAAAACAAATGAACAGAAACAGAAGTGAAACAGAAGTGGAACAGCTCAGACTAAAGGTATCTGCAGCCCTTTCTAATGCAAAGGCCCCCCCTTCAAACCTCACTTTCCAAGAAAGGAAGGCTGTGACATCTCTGAGCAAGGATGAAAACGCACTGTTTTCCTGTTTTCACCTGCTGACAAAGGAAGATGTTAATGCAACTGACTTTTTGGCCACTTCTTTTAACTTCAAACAACATGTCAAAGGGCAAACCCATAACCATGTTCATACACTGGACTTGGTTTTTACCCTGGGTGTCAGTGTTTCCTCTGTGGAATTAGTGGACATGACCATATCTGACCACAGATGTATTGTTTTTAGCTGCGATTCACCTGTTACTCATGCTGCCTCACCAAGCTCCGTGTGTTCTTGCATCTTTAATGAACAAAGTGTTTCAAAGTTTTGACATTCTTTCAGAGCCAAAGCACCTGTCTGAACACCAACAATTTGGTCGATCACTTCAATCATATCTGCTTGTTGTCACTAAATATTACTGCTCCTCTAAAGGTTAGGCCTACGCCTAAAGCTAGTAAGCAACCCTGGATAAATGACAGCATTCGCAGCCTAAAAGGGGAATGTAGGAAAGCAGATGGAAAAAATCCAGTCTCCAAGTCCATTACCTCAGTCTGAAGGATTTATTAATTAACTACAATAACATGGTTAAGGATGCGAGAACACACTATTTTTCTGAACTCACTACTACACATAAACACAATCCCAGCTTTCTGTTTAAGACTGTGGATCAGCTGGTAAACCCAACCCCTCCTTGTGCCTCAGCTGGAAGTAATGATGACTGTGAATTGTTTTTATCTTATTTTACCAATAAGGTGGTGACAATCAGAGCCTCTATAACCCCCGCGGCCTCTTACTCAGAGGTTCCTCACCAGCAACAAGAGAGTTTTAACCAGTTTTATCCCATAGACTTGTCTGAGCTTTTAAAAACAGTATCACAAATGAGAGTGTCCTCCAGCCCACTTGATGTTATACCTACAAAGTTTTTACTGAAAGTAATAGATTCTGTTGGGCCCCATTTGATCTCTGTTTTTAACAGCTCCCAATCTACTTGTTGTGTCCCTGATTATTTTAAAACAGCTTGCGTGAACCTGCTTTTAAAGAAACCTGGTTTAGATCCCTCCCTCCCACATAATTTTAGACCAATTTCAAAACTGCCTTTTATTGCAAAGATTCTAGAAAGAATTGAGTCCAAACAATTGCCCACAGTACTGGAAAATAACAAATTAAAGTTTCAATCTGGTTTTAGGAAGTACCACAGCACTGAGACTGCCCTGCTTAAAGTCACCAATGACCTTTTAATGTCTACTGATGATGGCATGTGCTCTGTCCTGATACTCCTGGACCTTAGCGCTGCTTTTGACACCATTGATCACAACATCATGTTAGACAGACTGAGGCACTGAGTGGGGATCTCTGGTACTGCCCTAGAATGGTTTTCATCCTACCTGTCAAATAGGAAGTTTTGTGTGTCTGTAAACAACTGTCTCTTCGTTCTGTCCAGTTAAATATGGTGTGCCTCAGGGGTCGGTCTTAGGACCCATTTTGTTTTCCTTGTATCTGCTTCCCCTTGGACATATTATCCATAAACATGGTATTTCTTTTCATATATATCGTCGCTGTCCAATGAAAACCACGTATCTCCAAAAATCGTTTTTTTCAGAAACATGAAAAAACAGTTTTTCTCATTAACAAATGTTACAAAATAAACATAAACCCCAGTTATTACTCAAATTTACCACCATAAGTGAAACACTATCTTTACACGGTCATCAGTGAACTGTTTAATATTTTAAATGGACATGCGTGGATTGTTGTGAGCGAAGGTAGACATGCGTGTTTTTTAAATAACGGGCTCCAATGACTTGCGGGCGGATCCAAGCCTCGAGTCTCTGTTTACGTCCCCATCAATTGATAAACTATTGACAGTAAGCCTACCCTACAGATTTCCTTTTGATCAACAAGCACAGCAAAGAGTCTGAAAAGGACCTTAAGAGGTGCATGCACAATTGGGCAAAACCGCTGATGCAGGCTACCTGCAGAGATTTGTATCCACCTCTTTCTCAGCATAAATGAGTGTTACCAGCAGCGAGGTGCATGCAATTCTCAGAAGGCATGCATAATTCGGCACAACATCGACATTAACGTGTGTACATTTTTCACCTCAGGTAAATCACTTAGCTTGTTGTAATCCTTGGCTGAAAACTGAACGTTTTTAATCCAACGCTATCGTTCCAAACACCTATCATAATTTCTGTTTCCCCCAAATAATACACTGGACAAGTTGCCACAAAAACTTACCTTTCAGCCTAACCGCATCCGGAGGCTATTAAGATACTTTGTTTAAATTAACAGCTGCAGCGCTTTCCTCTAAAAGGGACACATGTAGCTCTGTTTTATAAACGTTACCTGCATCCTACCTCGCTAGTTAAAGCTTCAGACGCTACCTGAGCTAAATAATAAGATGCCGGTTTTAAAAATAATGCTAATCATCATCAATATGCTATCTTAATATCGTGAACGACAATAGTGGACAATGACCAAATAAAATCAAATTGGTTTAATCAACAAAGGTTGAAATTCTTTGTATTCATGTAAATAAAAACACATTCAAAATGTCAAGCCACAAAATACATCACAAAATACATTAAATATTATAATTATGAACAGTCAGGAAAGATAGTCAAGCTATTTGTTAGAGACAATTGACTCTTAAATACTACTACTTAATAATTTATTTAATACTTGGAACAACTACGAATTATATTAATATCATTAAAACCTGTAAAGCCATCACAAAGTCAGATAAAATTTAATTACACTCAATTTAATAAACAATCATGGACTGTTGGGTCTCCAGCTTTTTTCCCTGGTCGGATGGACTTGCAGATGGTCACTTGGCTGAAGTCTGTGAAGAAACTGTGGTCCACGTACCTCACATGGTATGGCCTGGGATTGGAGCGAGCTCCCCGGAAAACTGCAGCATACTCAGCCGGAACACAGATCTCTCTATCTGTTAGTTTTCTCTCTATCACACTGTGCACAGAATCACACTCCATTTGTGTGTGACCTCGTTCGAGATACTTCTGCGTCACTATATTCTGTTTTTCGGTCACAAACTTGAGGAGGGCGTTGCTCAGGAGCAGATTTCGGTTCTGGTAGCCGCATCCATCACTCCACAGGATGTATTCTTCGTACGAGGGGTTTGCTTCAAGAAAGTGCACGATGCATGAAGCAAACTCGTTAGCAAAGAGACCAGCTTCACCTTCATGCCACAGGTAATTTGTTGCATCTTGTGATGACATGTCAAAGATGGTGAAGTTATGAACACTGATATTAGTCTTGTAATAGAGGGTGGAGGCTTGCAGCTTGGGGCAGAGCAGGAGCCACTGTAGATCCATGCATGCCACCAAGGTCTTCCCACCAGCCTCATCTTTGTCCTTCTGCTTCATGGCTCGTGCTGTGTCTTTTTTAAGACAGTGCTCCTCCCATGTGGCAGCTTCAATGTTTCCAGCCTTGAATGAACAGCATGTATCACACTTGGGTTTCTTTGGGTGAAAAAAAGAAAGATTTAAGTCATTGAAAATGTTGGTGAAAACTTGCCTCGACAGAGACTGGATTCCATGTTCGGCACAAGAGCGCTTATACTTAGTGTGGAGATGACTGAGAGACTTGAACACCGGCTCCAGGTACATCTTTGATGAAAAGGACCTACAGTAGTGTGATGGAACCTTTGGAAGATCTAAATGGAAGGTCTTAAGGAAGTCGCGCTCTTCTGACCTCACTCTCGCTCTCTCAGTCTTTTCAGGACTCTCTCCTCTACTTCTTACCCATTTCAGACAACACCACTGCTTTATGCCTAGTGTAGACAGGAACATGCGTTGGCACACTCTGATTCATCTTCCATCCACTACAAGGTGACAAGAAATGGATGCCGACCTCCTGGATTCATCTGCTCCTGTGCGCCACCGCTGTACACTGCTGACGTCAAGTAAAGACTTAACAAAAATTTTCCTCTCTTTCCAGTCTAATATCCCCCAGAAATACATAAAGATCTCCTCCCTCTTTGACTCCTCGACTTCATTGCAGTGCAGTTTAGTGGACTTTTGGCAGGCAGCAGACTGGCATGGCATCCCTATTTTTCTTGCCTCCTTCAACCCAGGCTCTTGATTCTTCCTCCCGAGATAGGACTGGCCCCTCATTCTCCTTCTTTTCTGAATATTCACGTTCCAGGTCTCTGGATTTCCTTTCTTCCTTGACCTTCTTGGACGAGCCCCACCAGCTGAAGAATCCTCCTCAACTCCCTCTCCTTTTGATTAAAAGAAAAGAAAAGAAAAATTCTGTAAATGTCCTCAATGTGTCGTAGTGGTGTATGTCTGCGTGAGACAGTGTGACAGTGTGTGCAGCTGACCACAAACCGTAACAAGCCAACTAGGAAAACTTCCAGCATTCACTTCAACAAACACTACTGCATTAAATACATCACACACACACTTATGTGTGCATCAGAGTGTGTCTGTTAATGTATCTACCTTCATTTTCAAATCCATCTGGCACGATAGCAGCGGGAGACTCAATCTGGTCACACTCAAGGAAATCTGAAAAAGATAGAGAGGAACACATAAAGTACACTGAATACAATACTGACATAATTCAATGTGTTGCTGACTTTGCATTCTTTGCTCTGGCTGTCTTAATCCTAGTTTTCCACAAACCTTCTTCCTCACTGCTGACCCTGGCTGCTGCCTCTACTGCCCTATCGTATTTAACATTGACCAATACGCAAAGCTTTTCTAATGAAAACGACATGTCTATCCTGAAAAAGTGGAAGAGTGCACACAACAGACAACATCATTTAAGGTACTCTGCATGAGAAAGAAAAAGATGTTGACGAATACATCTCAGTCACTAATGAAATGTACAACAACGCTGCCATGATAAAAAGAAAGCTTTGAGCTGGCATCGCTCGATTTGAGAATGACACGATGTAATTAAGTTAATAAGTCTGCCCTAGTAACTTACTTATCCACGGTATAAAACATGTTTACAAACAAGGCAAACAATTTGATATATCGGTGATTTTATATCAGATTATTTTATATAAGATACTAACTAATGTTCACTATCTGATTGTAATACAAATCAAGACTTATTACCCAGCTAACATTAGCTAGCTGTCGAAAGTCACACTTTAGCTGTCAACATCGATATGTTAAAGAACAAAATGTCGTTAGCTAATCTACACAGATGCCAGTCGAAAAAGACTGTGAGTACAAACTTGTCAAATAATTATCTTATGGTGATACTTTACCTTGGTGACGTTATCTTCCTCACAGAAACTTACGAGTGCACTCTGCTTCTAACTTTCACAGACGCAATCTCAAACAAAGGGAGGGAGGGGCATCCAGCCTGCAGCTGGAGATACGCTGTTTGATGGACACTTTTCACATCCAATGGAGATACTTGTTCAATACATAACGTCATAAAACCTCTATTAATTGGTCAATTCGATTACGAACGCTGACAGCATACAGAGGAGAATTTGCTTGTTCCAAATATAGAAAAAAGACAAAATCATCAAAAGTCGATATACGTGGTTTTCATCGGACAGCGACAATATGCTGATGACACACAAATGTACTTGCCTGTCAGATCCACAGACCCTGGAATGCTGAGTTCACTTAACAACTGCCTTTGTGAAGTTAAAAAATGGATGTCAAATAATTTCCTCCAGCTGAACTCAGACAAAACAGAAATCCTGGTCATCGGGTCTCAGCAGATGGCAAAACAAATACTGCCATCTGCTGGTTCCCTAGTAAATCACATAAAGCCTGTTGCAAAGAACCTTGGTGTCTGGTTTGATAGTAATTTAAATTTCGAGCAGCACACCACGAAGCTTGTTCAATCATGTTTTTATCAACTTAGAAGTATAGCAAAAATTCGATCTGTTAACTTTTAAGGACACCGAGACCATTTTACACGCCTTCATCTCATCACGCCTGGATTATCGCAACAGCCTTTTCACCAAAAATCTACTGATCGACTCCAGACTGTCCAGAACTCAGCTGCCAGGCTTTTAACCAGAACAAAGAAATATGACCATATCACCCCTATTTTAGCTTCATTACACTGGCTCCCAGTGTGTTTTAGAATTGACTTTAAAATTTTATTGATCACTTTTAAAGCTCTTCATGGCCTCTTGTCTTGTTATATTTCTGACCTTTTAGTCCCATACGCACCAGCACGTACCTTGAGATCCTCGGGCAGAGGTCTGTTGTCTGTTCCAGAGTCTCGACTGAAAACTATAGGGGACAGAGCGTTTGCTGTCAGGGCCCCAAGGCTCTGGAACAGCCTGCCCGAGGAAATCAGGTCAGCTGAGTCAGTGAACTCTTTTAAGTCCCTTCTTAAAACATACTTTATTTTATTTTATCCCTTTTATTTTATTATTATTATTTATCTACTTTACTTATTTTATATTTATCTTAAACATGTATTTTGGTCTTTTCAATGTTTTCTTGCTTGTATTGTTGTCTTTTGGGTATTGAATTGTTGTCTTGCACTTTGTAACTTGTTTTTGAAAAGTGCTCTACAAATAAAGATTATTATTATTATGTGGTCCTGGCAAATGACCCCACTGAGGTTAAATAGCTGAGTTTCCCTACCAGTCAGTCAGAACTGATGGAGTCTTTTGGATGAGGGACAAATCGTCTTCCTGTATCTTCAACCAAGTCCAGTTGCCCTTGACTTTAACCTTTGTTGGATAAACATCAGCATGTTAGCCTGCTGCCATTATCTTCTAGGTCATGTAAAAGCATTCGTTACCATGATGCAGCTGGACAGGTAGTTGCCATATCTCTCAAGTTAAATCGTAGATGGTTCCTGTAGTCTGCAATTTTCCTGGTTGTCCTTTCATACTCCTGTACCAATCTGAGGGTGTTCCACCCAAAATGATTAGCAAGATGTCTGTGAGAATTCTCAATCATCCAGGTCATAGTTATCCGACGAAGGTTAAAGTCAAGGGCAACTGGACTTGGTTGAAGATACTTGCCCTTGACTTTAACCTTCGTCGGATAAACATCAGCATGTTAGCCTGCTGCCATTATCTTCTAGGTCATGTAAAAGCATTGGTTACCATGATGCAGCTGGACAGGTAGTTGAAGGTGGTTGCCTTCAGCTCAAAGTGCTCCCCCCGGATGATGGAGTAAGGCAGGCTGAGCTCCAGGAAGAAGGGCTGGAAGACTGTGATATCTTTACGAGGAGCCAAGCCAAACCCCTGAGGGGACAAACAGAAAGCCTCCGTCTCCCAGGTGGTGATGGTGTCTGGGACAGTGAGGGACACATCCTTTGTTCCAGACTCTCTGAACCAGCAGATACACACAGACACATTCAGTGAGCTGGAAACATACTGACATAACTCAGATTAGACAAAGAAAAACAATGTGAGAAAATGTTTGGTGTTGCTAAACTCAATAATTTCCCATGCTGAATAAAGAATATAACCCTGAGCATATAAGCCGAAAATGCTTTTCCTATACACAATCCTTTTGAAAGAACCTAAACATTTTTCTTAAGCATGAAAAACATCCTAATCAGGTTATTGTTATTATTATTAAAAAATGTCTTGATGAACATGTAAACATGTTGACATGCACTAATTTACCCCCAATTTATGTCTATGAAAACTCTTTGTGACAGAAGCTCACCCAACTTCCACCAGGTCCCATATCCAGGTCTCAGGGAAGAAAGTGCGGACTGTCTCTATTGGTTGTGGAGAAGTAGGAGGAGGAGGAGGAGGAGGAGGAGGAGATGATCTGGCAGCACTAACGGGTCTTTTCATAAATTGTACTGCTCCTGAAGCACGGAGTCGAGGAAGCTTCTTGAAGCTATAACTTCCTTCAAAAAAAGAAACCAGAAAATATTCCATCAGAACCGGAGCATAGCAGTGACACAGTGAGCTGTTGAAATGCTGGTAAATATTCAGTGTCACTTGATTAAGCAAAAAAATAAGTCACCGTAACGGCTACGTTCCCATCCACTGTACTTGATGCATAAAGGCACTCTGATAAAGTTTGTTGTCATCTTCAGCCCTGCATTCTAGTTAATCCAACAACATACAGGCATCACTGAAAAGTTATGTAAATGTTTGAAAAACAAATACATGAATATATTCATTATATTGTAATTTTTTTGTAGGAAGCACCTGGAAAACTGAATGAGCATCATCTTCTCTCCCTTTGACCCTTCTGTGGTGTGCCATGTATATTCTAGTTCTCACATGGCGGCATCCATCAGGATCTTGCACCTCATGTGGAACAGAGGATGCTTCTCTGACAGGCAACAAGGCAAATATCTAAAAAAGAATGTATGATTGAAAGCTATAAAAGGTTGGTTGTTTTATGAAGATGTGACAGTTAGTGAACTCTTTGGATTGAAGGCTTACTCTTTCATCTTGAAATGTGGCTGTAAAGTGTATCTGTCAAAACAGTGCTTTTGATTCTAGCAGTTACCTTGTCTGCATTCAGAGTCTTCCCTGGTTCCTTGATGAGGACGCTCTGGTCGACAGCACTAACACCACACAGAGAGTCTGGCTGGGCCGTCACCTGCAGGATGGTTTCCTCTCCTGGGACAGCTGAGGGCGGAGAAAACTCCAGCGACACCTGACACATACAGAAAACACATCACACCATGTGGACTTCAGTGATATATGATGAGAATATATGATCTTGTCAACAGGACACAAATGTGTATTTTTATATCTCACTGACCTTGTGACTGAAGCATTTCTCGGTGGAGAAGTCAGCCCTGTGGGCGATCACAGTCTCACTGGGGAGGACGGCGTAAGCTACAACCTGGACCTGTGGTGCCATCTCTGCAGACACTGTCAACTTGAAGGACACCTCTCCCTCAGTCACTGAAACAACATACCAACTGTCATCATTCACATACCTCCATAGGTCAATAGAAATTTGCCATGCTAATTTAAAGAGTGATTTTAAGACGTCATCCACCTGATTTATCTTGCACTTCAACCTGCTTAACTCCTTGCATGATAATGGCTCCTCTGGATAAGACCTGGAGAATGTGAGAGACAGAATGAGTAATACAACAGAAAAACTTCCTTTAACAGCAGATTACAACACTGCTGCTATTCTGGTGTGTGGTTGTTTGTTTGGTTCTGCTGCATCAGATTTAATCCTTTTTTTAAAACTGTCCAACTCAGCCAATGTTTTAGGGGTACAATGCTAAATTGGTCTCTTAACTGAAAAAGCTTTACGCTTACCTGAGATGGTTGATCAAAGCAAGATGCGATGAAGTGCATAGAAAACAGACTTCGCAAATAATTCATGACATAAATTAAGCATGTAATTTAAACATTCAATGAAGCTTCCGCTCCACTGAAGAGATGAAAAATGGCAAGCTAGCACATCAGGTCTGTGTGGAGCTTTGAGGAGACTGTAAGACTGTAACCTTCCTCAAATCTATATGTGAAATAAACGCAAGTCATATTTCAATCATATTTTTACCACATGTTTTTCCATTTGAGAATGGCACTCTAAATCTAACAGGATACTTAGCGCTGCCAAGTCTTTTTGTTGATGTCCTCAACTCCTCATAATCAGATAAAAATAGTGGATTAATTAAGTTGATTAAATCATATTCTCTTTTGTTTCTGGAAATTAATATGTGCACATTTTGAAACTTTTGACAACCATTTTGCAGGGTGATAAGTAAAAGGCTGGTCACTGTCTTGTAGGGGAAAAGTGTACTTAATATTTACATCATATAACAATGGGTCCATAAAAACATCATCTATTCACAAAGTACTATCCTAATAATATTTTGTGCGTTTTATTTATTACTGAAACTTCTTAAAGTTATTTCTCTGCCATAAAGGCTGTTTTCCCAGTTTTCCAGTACTCTGCTTGCAGTGTAAACAATTAACCAGGGTTAACCCTATTGTTAGCTGGCAAAATTTGTGAGACAAGTACTTAACAGCTGTTGCTTGATATCTGGTAGCTTCACAAATAATGACATTTGATTCTTTCCCCAAATCAAATGACATCAGCTTTATGTTTGCAGGCCAACCAGTGTTTGGTTGTGCTCTAAAATATCACTATTACTCTACTAACATAGTCTAGTGGTTCTCCAATTTTTCTGTCATGCCCCCCTTCAGAAGGCAAAACAGTTAATGCCCCCCTACCCCAGCAAAAGTCGATTTCATTTTTATCATTCACTAACAATACAGACAATTGAAAAAAAAATCACGCTCAACATCTACGAATTCCCTGAAGGGGCTCTACTTCCCCCCTAGTCCATGCTAAAATGTTACCATATAGCATAAATACACGAAATCTGCTGGGTAATATGGAAGGTTTTGGTGTCCCCAGTGTCACTAGCTAAATGTCATTAAATGTGTTCCTTTAGACCAGGTGTCATTAATCTGATATAAAGGTAATTTTAAAAGCATCTTCCCTATGTCCATGTCTCTGGAAGAGAACCACTCACCAGATACATCACATCCACAGAGCCCTGGGTCTCTCGAACTACAGTGTATTTGATGGAGATGTCTTCTTCTCTGTCACAGAGAAGTAGCTGATCCTTCTTCTTCACCTCCAGGGAGCTGACTGTTTTAGAATCAGGAGAAGGAGGTTCGGGCACAGAAAATACATGCTCTCCAACCTCATAGTATGGCATTCTATTACCAACGTTGTCCAGCGTCGGTTTGTTGCCAACCTAGATTGCAGAAGAGAAACACCACAAATGAGCTCATTGTGATCAAATCTTGTCTTTCAGGTTGTCGTCTTAGTGCTACCTCTTACTTACACGGAGGCGGATGTTCCGTTTAAAGTTTGCGGTGCTGAATGAGAAGGTGGCAATCCCATCACTGTCAGTTGTGAGGTTCTGTACCAGACGTGCTGACCACCTTTCACCCTCAAACAGGTACACTGGCATGTCAGGAATGGGTGTATTATTGTAGTGAACTGCTTTAACCTGTTAGAACACAAAGTTGTATCATGGTTTCATTTGCACTGTGAATAGAATCAGACTGAAGAAGTGGAGACCACATGTACTTACTTTTCCCTCCACATTTGATCCTTGGTCATAAATCTTGGGTGTGTCAATGAAGGACAGCTTTCCAACAACATATGAAATCCCTATTCTCTTCTCCTGTTGGTGTGAAATACCTGTACAAGAAAGCTCCATTTTACAACAATGTGTATGCCATACTGTTTAAACACATGACATTTAGATATTTCTTCTTCTATTAAAAATATAAATTTTATAAAATATTATACTTGCCTATGCCCTCCTCTTCCACCTTGGCACTGAGGTCCAGTACATCTTGCAGCACCTTTCGGTCAAGTTTTGTGAAAGCTGACATCGTAAAGGTAAAAGTGGCACAGCCTCTCTTGTCTGTCTAGAAAGTTAAATAAAATAAGATAAAATTAAATGAAAATTGTGAATGGAGGGACATATTAACATTTTCCTTCCCACTATTTCATATCCTTATTCAGTCAAAAGGTTGCTTTTACAGAGGGGGCGTGTTCCTCTATCAATGTCTTCCCTAATTTGGAGGAGAATAACAATAACATTGAGCTGTGGCAAAAGGTGTGGGTAAATTAAGTACTCACCTTATTCAGGTCTTATTCTGGTCACTTTTAAATTCTTATATTTGTTCAGCTTTTTCATATCTTGGTTTTTCAGTATTCGAAGTTCAAGCACCAAAATTACGGAAATACATTTCAACAAATAATGTTCATCATTGGCTAAATCTTTGGCTTTACTGCTGCATGTTTCAATGGTATCCTATGTTTTTCTGCATGCAAGCCTTTGGGGAAAAAAATAGCCATAACATGCGGAAACTAATCATTGTCACTAGGCAAGACCAGTTGTTACCCAGCATACATCCATTCTGTATGGGCGTATGTAAGGTCTACCTTTATTTGCACCTTGTTTCAGCACAAAGAGGAGTCACCACAGCAACTGTACCTGCTTTGTCTCCTTGTAGCATGGGGCAGTTATGTCAGGGACTCTTTCTGGATGCTCAGGGGTGCGTACACTGGCACGATAAATATTCTGATTCAGAGGTCGGCACACCTGAACTTGAACACTGCCTGACACAGGCTGTCCGTATGTATACCTGATTAGAGGGACATTGACAGGAAAAATAAATGTTTGTGTGTGTTGTTGAAAAGGAGTCATTCCCTCACCAAACTGAACCTATTATTTAATGAGTGTAATGAGTGAAAGGGCTTTTACTTACTTTGCACATACTTCAGCTTTGATTTCTTCCTGCTCAATACTTACTTCATCAGACATATTTATTTTTACATCAAATTTTGGCAAAACTGGGGACAAAACATGACTGTTAGCATTCTTGCTTCATTATAAATGTATTGAAATGGAAGGTTAAAAAAAATTATTTACCATATTTCTCCACCTTGAAGCTGTGATGTAGTTTATTTTCACCAATTGACACAATGACTTGGTAGATTCCTTCACGGGCCTCAGAGTTCAGGGAGTAAGAAAGCTGTAGTATTTTACCGTTTGACGTTTCATTCAGCCACTGCCCAATCCTGTTGTTGTTAGGATCCTATGCAATAAGGCAAATGGGAAGAACATGTATTTATGACAAAAACAGGATACTAATGTGAATACCATTGCAGCTTATTGTTCATTTTTCTCCTTCAACAAGATGGCAGATGAAACTGGGCCATTCATTTGGATAATGTAATATTGTTGACTCTCAGTGTGAAAAACATCATGTTTACTTAAAGCTAGGGTTAAAGATTTTGGGAAAAAACGTAATTTTCGCTTTTTCTGCCAGATTACAATTACGATTCGATTTTCTTTTTTTTTTTTTAAGTTCAATATTCACTGCTCGTCTATTTTTGACGGAAGCAGTGTCAAGCAGCACAAAGCAGATGAACCGGGCAAGAAGTCAGACACAGAATGGCATAGAGAATAAGGTCGAATTTCAAAAGAAAACATCCTGTGCATACTCCTGATAAACAAAAAAGAAACAATTTAACTACATAGCCTAGCTTATCATGATAGAAGCACAAAAACTAAGCACAACCGAACAAATTAACAGAATCTGAACAAGTCAGCAATTTCAGGCAGGCAAAATGCTCTTATTCTGAAATGATCCATGTGGGATATGTAGCCTGCACAGAGCTGAACGGAACGGGCACACAGAGAGCTGTTATCTGTACTTGAAGCACACAAGGGCAGCTAAATGCTCCAAGTATATCCAGCTGCAGCCCGCAGACCTGCTGGTAGTTGACGGAAGTTGAACTTCCAAATATGGTTTGTCTCAGAAGACACTACACACAAAACGTGATGACGTTAATCTCGGCTCACATACTCAATAGATCCTAATGTTAACCGTTTTATTCTTTAGAGGCCAACAACAGAACTTTAAATACACTTCTGAGAAGTTTTGAGGCGAGAAATCAACTTTGTAGTTGTCGAATATCGGCAGTCTGACGAAAATGTGTTCAAACGTTTTCGGAGTTGACAAGTGCCAACCATGGTGCCGGCAGGTGTCAAGAGGACCCCTCTCTCCTCCTCCATCACTCCTTCCACTGCCATCAGGCAGACAATATAAAGTTCTACTGGCCTGGTAAAACATTTACAAGAACTCTTTCATACAGCAGGGCTTGACAAAACAGTGGCCCGATGGCCCGGGGCCAGTAAAAAGTAACGTCGGGCAGTTGAACTTGCAACTCGTAAAAACATTAGTAGTTAAAAAGAAAATAGAAAAATAACATCCTGCAGTTGTTTTGTAGCTCATGTCGCTACCATGGCGTCCTGTCACACAGGATAGAGGCGACTTATAACCGCTGCTCTGTGTACATTTTTTTATTAAATGGCTGTCAGCAGGAGAGAGCACGCCATGTTTGACTCTGTTAGTTTGTTTTGTTTTAAAGGTAAATTGTTTTGTTGACTATTACCTTTTTATTTATTTATTTTTTCTCAAGTATCTTTATTGGGTTGACAATGTACAGCATAGTAAATACAGCTGAAAGTATGACTTGTCACCCAGTTTAACATTATTAAGACATACAGGAACATAGTGAACAAATCAATTCCCCACTTCCAAACTTAAGAACCATGTTCGCATACGGACAAAACATGTGAATGAGGGAATGAGAAAAAAAAAAAGTACAAAATATGTAAACAAAGTAAATAAATAAATGAATAAATAAAATAAAGTCAAATAATGAAAAGGAATCTGCCTGCTCTGTAACCCGACTGACTATGTAAAATCTTCCAGAGAAGAAATAGAATTTACAAAGGAAAGAAAAGGACCTCACATGTTATTAAAGTTATCAGAGCAGTCCCTAATACTATATTTAATTTTCTCAAGGTATAAAAATGACATTAAGTTGCTAAGCCAGGAGTCAGAGGGTGGAGGTTTACGATCCTTCCATTGAAGCAAAATGCGCCTATGAGCTACAAGGGATGCAGAAGCTATAATATTTGTCTCCCTAAGAGTAAAGCTGTTAAAATCTCCAGGAACACCAAAAATAGACATCAAAGGGTCAGAGATCATCGGACTATTGAGGGCCTTTGATAATTTATCATAGAAAGAGGCCCAGAAAGAAGCCAGTTTGGGGCAGGAAGAAAACATGTGTATGATTGGCCGGTGATAGAGAGCATCTGTCACACATATCGCCCGTGTTGTATAGCTTGTTAAGTTTAGCTTTGGACAGGTGTGTCCTGTGTAAAACCTTAAACTGAATCAGTGTCAGTCTAGCGCAAGATGAAGTAGAGTTAACCCTGTTGAGGGACACCCACCACTATTCATCTGAGAATACAGTGCCAAGCTCTTTTTTTCCCAAGTAGTCCTAGTTGCTGAGGTAGATAATAAAAATGATGTGATTAACTTCACCGTGCCAGAAATGACTCTACTGGCTGTAGGAAATGACAAAATTATATCAATGAGAGATTCAGGTGGTTGATGGGAAAAGTTGGGGAAGTTACAGCGAACAAAGTCTTGTATTTGAAAATATCTGAATAAATGGGATTGTGGCAGGCCAAATCTAGTTTTAAGATATTCAAAAGAGGTAAAAACCTTTTCAGAAAAAAGCTGTTTGAGATGAACAAGGCCTTTCTTTTTCCACAAGGAGAAAACTGGATCAAGTTTGAAAGGTAGTGCTTGGTTCGGGATCTGCTTCGCAGCATTGTTCACAGGGAAGCATTCGCTCTTATATATATATATATATTTAACTTGAAGCCTGAAAAGGAGTCGAATTTCTGTAAAGTATTGAGAATCTTATTAATGATGGTAGTGGGGTACTCTGTGCTCCACCCCGTTTCTGTATATGCCAGTGAAAAGCGGTGAGTTTCTAAGAGCAGTGGAGAGTGGCTCGATCGCAATGGCAAATGGCATAGGTGATACGGGGCAGCCATGACGACAGCCACATGTTAGGGGGAAAAACTTAGACTGAATATTGTTAGTGGTCACGCTAGCAGTAGGGGCCCTGTATAATAGTTGAATCCATGAGACATATCTTTGACCGAAACCAAATCTGTTGAGGACTGAGAATAGATAGCCCCAAGGCCTTCTTAGCGTCCATAGAGATTACCATTTCAGTGTCTTGTGTGTCAGACTTAGACAGAAGTATATTGAGTAGGTGACGGATATTTGAGGATAATTGTTTGCCCTGTTTGGTCACTAGAAATAATGCCTGGAAGGCAGGGGTCGAGATGGCAAGCACTGATCTTGGCTAATAACTTTATATCGAAGTTAAGCAGGCTGACAGGCCTCTAGCTGCTTTCATTCTACCGGTTCTTTATTTTTCTTTGGGATGAGTAAAGTTGATACTTGAGTTGAAGATAAAGGAAGGGAGCCACGTGCCAAGGAGTCGTTGAACATATCTAACAACAAGGGAAAAATTTCTTTAAAAAATCAGCTGGGAAGCCATCTGGACCTTGCCGATTTGCATCAGTTTGAGACCACGTCCAGATTGGATGTGGTTGCTTCATCAATTGTGGGGTATTCTAAGTTGTCTAGGAATTCGTTCATTGGAGAATTATCAGATGGGGCTTCAGATTTGTATAAGTTGGAGCAGTATAGGGCAAAAACATTATTTATCTCAGTTAGATCTGTAACTACGGAGCTAGGGGTCCTGCGAACTAGAGTGATGAGTCGAGAGGCAGATTGGTGCTTTAATTGCAATGCTAACAGCCGGTTGGTTTAATCGCCATACTCGTAATACGTACTCTTTGTGCGCCTTAAAAGGAAATCTGCCTCAATTGTAGAGATGAGGTCAAACTCAGTCTGGAATTTGAGTCTCTCCATCTGAAGAGTGGGATTAGGAGATAAGATCAGTTTGTCTCTGCCTTTCCTGATTGCGTATCATTGCACTGTAAAATATAATCTCTCCACCTATTACTGCTTTAAAAGTTTCCCATAAAAGGGAAGGGGAAGTTGAATCGGATTTGTTATTTTGGATAAAGAGTGAAATCTTCTCAGATATAAACTCGCAAAACCTATTAAAGGATAATAATCCTGTGTTTAATCTCCGGTTTGGGTGCTTTTCACATCTAGGGAGGAATTCCAAGTCTAACAGAAGAGGGGTGTGATCTGAGATAACAAGTGCAGAGTATTCGCATGATTTCACTAAAGGTAGAAGTATTTTATCTAGAAAACAATAATCAATACAAGAGTATGTCTTGTGAACGTGGGAATAGAATGAAAACTCTTTTGTTGTTGGATGTCGGGAACACCACACATCCACACACCCGAGTTGGACTCTAGCCATATTGGACCGGGTTACGTTTTTCGGGTTTGACTTATCAAGAGCAGGGTCAGACACTAAGTTTAGGTCCCCCCCAAAAATTAAGTGGTGTGAATTCAGGGATGGAATTAATGAGAATAACGAAGTCATAAAATTAGGGCAGACCCAGCTTGACGCCACAGTGTCGGCGATCTTCTGCAGAGATGCTTGGATAGGAACCAGGGCGCTGTTCAAGGAGTCAGTAAGTTCGCCTGTTACTCCTTTGCGAAGCTTCTCAAGTTCACCGACTAGCATGGCAAGTGTTAGTGGCTGGGCGCTAGCTTCATCTGTTCTGGTAACGTTTGCTGTCTTTTTAGCATCCTTATCCTTATCCTTACCGCGAGATTTGCTCATCTCCGATAGAGTTGCAGTGTGACTTCTTATGGTTCGAAAAACTAAGAAACAATGACAAGAGTTCTGAGTGAAGAAAAAGCGACCGTATCCAGGAGCAAACCGATCACTCCACCACCACGACCGGTACCTTTTTATTTTTTATAATTTTAACAGTGATTACATTTTAGTTTTTTGGAACACTTTTGGAAGGAGGGACAGTAAAAATTGTCTTTGGACCAGTAAGTTTCAAACCCACTGGCCCGGTGGAGGCAGTTGCAAAAAAGTTTAACGTTGAGCCCTGTACCATCTGCAATAATCAACAAAAAATAGTGTACGCTACACTGCAGAGGCACAACCTGAAGGAGTAACTAGTATAAATTAGTGTTAGTATAATGTTATACCATTAAATAAAAAGTATACTGGTAATATACAATATGCAATAATGCATTACTGTGATAATTAATTTTGGCCAGTGGCCATGCTGTCCTGACCTCTATCTTTAGCGCCCCTAGTCGCAGTAACCAGACCACAGAATTGGGCTACAACCCACTCTCCAGTGAAGTCAAGACAGTACTAGCAGATCTGATCACATCACTATAACCAATCTTGCTTCAGACTGATGTTGGCACCACAATAAAAAAATGTATTACAAAAATATATTTAATTTTAATTTATGTCTGCATTTAATTATTTATTCCTTTATACATTATTCATTTTTCATCCCTCATACACTGCTAGCGCAATAGGGTGGCTAAAACTGGTCACGTTAAGTTACGTTTTTCTCCTCTGCCCCACAGCACATGATACCTGGCTTCTTTACGGTCAATTGACACTTATCTCCGTAAACAAGGTAGAATATTCCAGGTTTAACGACACAGCTCACTCCTGACATGTGTGACTCAGCTTTGCGTATTAAAGGAAAAAACTCTCTGCTAAACTCTGATTGGAGAGTGTGATCACTCCACAATGAATATGGCCTGAAATCACTGATCTCAGAGCTGTTCTATTCCAAATGTCACCTGAAACTTTACAAACCTTTCAAAATAATCACAATCACCAACAACTGCTGTTTTGTCTATGATTAACCCATTATTTATTTTCTTTATGGAAAATATCAGTTACTTATTTTTAAGCGGGTGGTAACATGGGTTACAATATGCCCATACATAAATTCATATGTAAATATGAATACTTCTACTTCCTGCTACTGTAGAGAGCAGTCGTGCTTTTCCTACTCTCCCCTCTTATCTTGGCTTGCTCCTATTTTCTGTCTACTTTTGGTCGTGTGGAAAATTTTCTCTTTTGACCACCTGCCTGCTGTTCTCCTGAAACCATCAAAATGGAATTAATCAACTGGTCACTCAGCGCTATTTTTTTCACCCAGAGACGTGCTTCACCGGGTGAGCCGAACTGTCCCAGTGGAACATTTGCCGCAGGCTACGCTCGCAACTCGTGGGAGACCTGGCAAGCGGTTTGCTTGGATGTTTTATCTGCGGAGGACATTGAAGATTTATGAATAATTGGAATTTTGTTAGTGGGCTTCCTGATTATCGGGCTTGGAATCTCCCTAATATATCGTAAAATTGGTAAGACAGCCGCCAGCAAATTTACCCAAAAGCTTTCTGGGGAACTTAAAGAGTGCTTAAATGGGGTGAACGAAAAGCTGAAGGTTTTACATCAAAGGGCTGATCAGAACGGTGAACTGTTTAGTAACATCTCAGACCGGTCTGTGGAAGTGCAGAGGAGGATTGACACCATCGGGGCGCAGTCTGGTGAGCTGCTGAGAGTAACCACTGGTCTGACAATGAAATTAAAAGAAATGTCGAAATCACTACATGAACTGGATGCACGTATGACGCTGAGGATGAGAGCAATTGAAGGACACTGATCCGGATAAATGTTACCGAATCAGCCTAAATTGGTGCCCCTTCACTCCCCCTCCCCTCCTCCACCCGTGCGGGAAGACAACTTGCAGCTGGCCTTCCTATCTTCTCCTGCGCACTGGTTTATCTCTCTTCAAGGACAAGGCCAATGAACTGAACTTTTCTTTTTAACAACATAGTCGGTCTGAAGCCTCATATTTCACAAACACAGACTCATTATCTTACTCACACCATACCCCCCCCCCCCCCCCTTGAACTGACTGCCTCGAAACTGCCCTCTTTAATTCTCTTCCTTACAAGTCACCTCAAAAAATCCCATCATGTGACCGCATGTAATGTGTGTTGTCTTGTGTACTATTATGTATTGTATGTTGTTATGTAATATATACTATGTTGCTGTCTGCATTAATTCTTTTCTGGGAAGCGAGTGCCGGCGCTGAATATAGCTGCAGCCCGGAGGCTTGCTCCAATTTCTTGCAATTTCCCAACTGTGGGACAAATAAAGGTTTCATTCATTCATTCATTCATTCAAATAATTTCAGTATATAATAAATGCTTTAGCCTCCTATTTGTGCACCTGTCTCTGTCTGTGCAGGATCCTGCCTCACCTGCTACAGCAACCTTCTCCCAAGTCGTTGGTTAATTAGGCACATTTAGCTGCCTCTTGTGCCACCATTTTATCTTTTTAATTCTTATTTTTTCTGCACCACTTTCTTTTTCCTCTTTCTCTCTTTTCCCCACATTGTCTCTGTTGTGCTTGTCACACAACCCAGCCCTGAGTTCACCCCCGACAAAACGTTGGGAGATTGAAATCACCCCAGATGGAAAATAAACTACTTTGATCGGCGCCATTGAGCCAATCAGATTTGAGGAAAAACAAGGATCAGTCCAAGTTGGGAGCATATGCCGTGTTCCAGAGGTTGAATTCTCCAACTTCCAACCTCAAAGTGTTTCAGGTGCATGGTGGTGCATAACGCCGAAAGTGAACAAAAACCATGGCTGCATTAGCAGAAGTAGCTTTTACCCGGAGCTTGTCTGGTTGGAGGTTGGTAGCCTGTTGGTAGCCTGTGGCCGCATCATTACCATATATATATATATTATATACATATATATGTGGTAATTTGCCGCACTAGATTATGTGTGCCATGAATCAGCATTACTGGACATTGACAGCTGATATTACATTGTCTGTCTTCAAAGGACAACACAAAAACATATTGTTCACTGATATCATTTATTTTTCTTCCATAGTCACAGTGTGGATCAATGTCCCTCCTGGTGCCAGACAGCTGCAGCAACCTGGATTGCATCCTCAGTGTGCTGGACGTCTGTATCTGATGGCGTGGACTGACATCCAGCACACTGACCTTCTGCCCTTACGTTTACTTTTACATTTAGTTTTAAATGTTGTCCATATGTGTCTTTTTACGTACATTTAAAAAATATATAAAAATATGGTTCACAAGAAATTCTCTATATATTTGCACTAATTTTCTCTGAATTACTGACTGAAAATGTTAGATTTCAGATTCTATCTGTCAATTCCAAGGACAAGTTAATCTTCCAACACAGATAAAATATCAAACACTAAAGCTGAACTCTTGCTAAGTGACATCTGTCTAGTACAAGTTGAAAAGTGAAAATGCTCCCTAAAATGTTTCATGGTTTGCCTGAAATGTTGAAAAGTAATTATATAGTATACTTCTATGTGTGCCGCAGTAGTTTCACTTTTTACCTTATTCTTTAGGATAAAGAAGGAGTCTTACACTCAGAACCAGAGCCTGAATAGTTTTTGAAGAGTGCCTTGTTGGCTGCTCTGATTTAAGTCTAGTTTAAACACAGAAGAATTTGCACACATCCAAACCAAGCTGTGGATAAGAGGAAACAAAGAATGACCTGCATAGAGTTATAATGAATCCAACTAGGTTCTATCATTAATTGTGATGATGCAAACTCTGAGGTATCAGAGCTGATCAAATGCATCTGTGGTAAATAGGTGCATCTCTACAATGTAAGCCTCCTAATACCTGTGCCCTCAACACCTTCTACAGGGCTTCAAAACTATTCAGTGTGCAGATATTTCTTTGGTTTTCATAATAGATATAACTTCCCGAACGCTTTAATGGCAGTCCTCCCCTGGGTGGAGGCATACATTCAACTACTGGCTACATGCCTGTCAATATCTGCAACACGTTCCTGTTTTTAACAGGGAACACATACGGAAGCAAATAGCACGCTGCTCTTCCTTTCATGGAATCTTTAATTAATCTTTTTGAGTAATCCCGGTTTTTACAAAATGTACCAGTAATTTGATTACAGCTTTTTTTCTGTAATGTAATGGAATACAGTTACACTTTTTTTGGTATCCTAATTAGGCCTACGTAACGGTGTTACATGTAATCTGTTACTCCCCAAGCCTGCAATCATTGTTCACATTGATCAGTTTAAAATATCCTGCTACAGTACATACTGTATTAGTATTAGTAATATTACAAAGTACTAATAATAGTAATGGAGTTTTGAAGTGTGAAATCAGAATATCAAAAATTTATAGAGGCTATACACTAAAATGTTGACATCACAGAAAGATTAGGCTCTTGATGTGTGTAGGAGGTTAACATGCTAAATTTACATATGAAAAGCATGGTGTGTGGAAATTGTCTTACCGCAATTTCGATGATATTATACTGCAAACAAGGAGAGAGAGAGAGAGATTTGTTTAGCGACAAGTTGTTTTATATTGTTATTTTCACACAATGTCCTTGGTCCTGTACCACGAAACGAGTTCAACATACCTAGGATATCTTTTCACTATCTGGCTTCACTAACCCTAACAATCGCGCTAGTGATAAGTGGTCACACAAAGCTGGTTATCAACTCAGTATGTCAACCCAGGGTTTCCCAATCCAGACATGAGCGCGTTCACATAAAAGAAGCATGTTTTACAAAAGAAGAGCAAACTATAATATTAGACAAATAGACATAGTCTGAGTAGCACAGCTGCAGCTGACACATGTAGGAAAACAGAAAATAGCTGCTAGTGTGAATGTCTAAATGAACAGCCTATAAAATGAATGTGCTGATTTGATGTGTTCTTATGGCGTGTATTTTATTTTAGCCTTGTTCTTTCAGCTAGGCTATGTGTCATGTTTCTATATTAAAAGCCTCGAGCAATTAAAACTGTAAGTGGTCGTTCCAACTTACTTTCAAGAACTTCTCAAAACTTAAAAAATTTGGATTAATTTATTTAACGCACTCAACAGTGTTAACATTGTTTTAAATCAACTTCATCAAGTAACAAAACGAAAAATCCATTCATGCGATAAGGTTCTCAAATAGTGGTCGAAAGACTGAATCTCAACATTCAGGCTACTGAAAACTCCCCCACATTACTCCATAGAAAAGGTGGGCGCTACATTACCAGTCTCTATAATACAAGATACACTATATTGCCAAAGGTTTTGCTTCATTAACATACACATGAAGGTTAATGACATCCCATTCTTAATCCGTAGGGTTTAATATGGAGTGGAAAGGCTGTCCACAAGGTTTAGGTGTGTGTTCATGAGAAGTTTTTGGCATTATTCTAGAAGCACATTTGTGAGGTCAGGCACGAGACGAGAAGGCCTGCAGCAATGATTCGGAGGGGGGTGCTAAAACTTTTGGCAATATAGTGTAGCTACTAACTTAAAATAAAGACATTCATATTAAACTTACTTGTTACTTCAATAGGCCTACCAAACTATATGCTCATAATATTCAGCCTCACATAGGGAAAATGAAACCCATTTATTTAATGGCTGCGAAAGTATGTGTGTATGAAGGACAGATCCTGACATAATCACAAATATATACAGAAATAGATAAATGCTCAATAAATAAAAATACGATTAAATGCGCAAAAGAATAAGTAAATAAATAAATGTAGGCATTAATTAAATTATACAATGAGACAAATGTACAGTATATATCTCTTAATTAGATTCTTTATTTATACCTTTGTATAAATTACCTTATTTATTTATGATCTATTATAATCTTCAACTTTATTTATTAATTACATCTTTTTAAAATGTCTTTATTTATGTGTTTTAATATTTTTGTCTGTGTTGTTCTTCCTTTGCATTTACAATCCTATTTATTTCCCTAATGGTGTTTGTATGTATTATATGGTGTCTGCCCTTATTCTATTTCTCTATGCATTTCTGCCTCTTATGCAAATCAGGGGGGCTGTGTGTCAATTTAATAAATTGTGTTTTTTGTGGTGGTTGTATCGCGACCACTTAAGACTTGATAGCTTCTCTTCAGGTGAGATTCTCATACTGCAACAGAAAATGACTCTCTAACCCTGCCTGTCAACTCAGTCATTTCATTTAACTGCATTTACCATAAAGGGTCGAATTTGTGTAGCTGCTGCTGACTGACCATGTGCTTCCCACAAACAACAGCTCACTTTACCGCAGTTCTGTGTCCATGCATGCCGGAAACTGAAAACACTGAGTGTCAAAGCGTCCACACAAAAAAGAAAGAAGACATGGCTGGTATTATTGTCTTCAAATACAGTTGCTGAACACTTTAGTTCACTGAAAGAAGCAATCTCATGACTGTGTGGAGCGCGAGACTTGTTGTGTGCATGTAGAGTTGACCTCAGCTGTCTGACTGGACAACCAATAGGTGAGAAGTTGACCCCAAAGAAATATGGAAAACCCAAAGTGCCAAAACAATAAATAAATTAATAAAATAATGAATAAATAAATGTGGAAATATATGCAAGAAAGAATAAATTAATTAAAGAATAAATACATAAATTTGCTTTTGCTTTTGCCTTTTGCTTACGAGACCTATTGTCATTGCTTTTTCCTTACAAGACCTATTGCTTTTGCCTTTTCCTTATGAGCCCAACCTGTGTGGCCGTATCATTACCAGCTTAATGTTACACTTGAGGTAAGTTAACCTGAAACTATACAAATAACAGTTTATCTGTTATAGAGATTATACTACACAAGGTTAAAAATGCAACAATCTGAAGAAAATCAATGAACCTGAATTTAGATTTCCACATAGGCTAACTATAGTTACGAGTTGTTTATTTGGATGTCACTTGATTGAACGTTACTTGGCACAACGTTAATAAACTAGCTCTAGATTACATACGATGGCACATATTTAGCTTGCAAACCACTAGACATAACTGTTATTGTTAACTTTTATTGCCTAACAGCTTATTTTAAAGATTGTAATTCCTCACGAGCTATTCTTGACTCAAGTGTGCAATAGACAGCGCTGTGCAAGATTATTGTCTTGAATATGACTGTTGAGAGACAAAGGCACTTTCATATTTGTTATAACACATTTCTTTCAGTGGTCGGTTGTTGTGGAGGTCATGGCCCTCTATAAAGCCTCTACCATGTCTGCTACACACAGCTTAAACTGTTAAGTACTTGTCTTGGCTACTTGACATATGACAGCTGATTTTCCAATGTTGTTGGAGCAAGCGAGTGAGGAGATGCTGCACGAATATATGCTCCTCAATACAGCTCCTAAATCAAATATGATTTTAAATACGCCTAGTAAAAGAATTAGATAATCAATATGTGACAAAGCAGTCTCTTGTGACTTTTTAACTAATATCATATTCATAACAGCAGCAAGGAGTGTGGTTTTGACAAAACATATAGCCTAGGCCCAGCGTTTCATAACACCACCGGCTGAAATAAAAAAATAAAGCAAGTAAATCCCGACTTTTGAACTACTGTTTTTCTCCACATGTAGCCTGTTTATAAGAGCAATACTCTTACAAAATTTTTGGTTAATGCCACTCTCTCCCGATGAGTCCAAGCATCAGTGAAAGTTGCAGCCCGAGTTTCTTTCTGTAAGTTTCATGTTGCTGTGCTTCTTTAGCAGATGCTTCAGTAAATCAGATGGAGAAATGTTCACGGTTGAAAGCTTTTTGCTGGTTTCAGAGTTTACACCAGACGACAATGTTCTTTGCATCATAGACTGTGACACAATAATGGCAGTAGCTATTTACAGCTGTGGACAGAATGCCTTTCTCACTCGTTCTACTTTCTTCCTTTAGTTTTTGGCTATCAGCGGACATGAACAACAAAGTCCGGTCCCGCTGAGTTTCCGCACATTCGTGGATTCACATCAAGGATGGTGCGTTCACTTACGAGTAACACAGCATTACTTGCATTAGTAACTGTAATAATATTACTTTTTTAGAAAAGTAATTAGTTACACTACTAGTTACTGGGAAAAGTAAGTCAATTATTACAGTAACTTGATTACTAACGTTACTTGATGCAGGTACATCTTTATAACAGCAGGTGGCATAGTTGTCCCATTTTGAAGGATTTAACCTGAATTTATTTAACTTTGTTACACAATACACTATTCACTCAAATGTATAATGTTAATCTTTGCTGCTCTTTAGTCAAATATGCAATAATAGGGCAATGTGCAATAATCTATGCCAGTGTTATTGAACTGGTACACAGTGTTTCCTCACACATAGACTTTACTTCGGCGGGCCGCCCAGGTTAACGGTGACCCATTTTAGCATTTTGCAGAGAAACACAGAGAAAGTTACAACAACTCTATTGTTATCTATTACATAACAGACGGTAGATATACACTGAACAAAAATTATAAACGCAACACTTTTGTTTTTGCCCCCATTTATCATGACCTGAACTAAATAATCTAAGACTTTCTCTATGTACACAAAAGGCCTATTACTCTCACATATTGTTCACAAATCTGTCAAAATCTGTGTTAGTGAGCACTTTTCCTTTGCCGAGATTATCCATCCACCTCACAGGTGTGGCATTTCAAGATACTAATCAAACAACATGGGTATTGCACAGGTGTGCCTTAGGCTAGTGTTGTAGTACTCGAGACCGGTCTTAAGACTACATATTGATGGTCTTGGTCTCGTCTCGGTCTCAACTGCATTTGTATTCGGTCTTGTCTCGGTCTTGGACATTGAGAACTCTGGATTTTATTTCAAGACCAGTCAAGACCATAACTTTGGGAATATCAATAAATTACTTTTGCATTGTCTGATTTGTAAATATCCTAACTTTGATTGGAAGTAAAACATATTGCTTCAAATGCAACTAACCTTAATTAATGTATGTCACCCCTCCCTGCAATGCTTTAGTTGATTTCAGCTCTTAGTGTTTGTATGTGGATGTTTTATTGGGAATGTGGATCTTTCAGATCAATTTGTGAAATGATCTCGTTCCACAACCAGACTGCAGAGCAGCCCTTTCCCCCAAGTTATCAGACTCTTGAGCTCAAATTGATCCTCAGCATTGCTCCATTGAATATAGTTTATTTCTGTTTACCATTTTTACAATTGCTTTTATATGTATCCTGTCTTTCACTACATAACCTGTTATACTGTGACAAAATAAATCTACCTACCTACTTAACGTTACCTTCAACTCACCATCAACTCTGATTACTTTTGTCCCAAAGTTTTATCACATTAAATTCAATAATATGTTTTGATTTCTGTGCACAACTCTCAAAAACTGTCTTTACCATGTATTACATTACACTACTGTTTTTTGAGCATCGTTAGCACAGCTTGTCTCGCTTGAAGCTGGCTAATTAGCTAGTTAAATGGCTAACGACCTGATGTATTGTACCGATACTTGCTAATTATTGCTAAAAACACATGAATAAAATACTACAATTTCACTTACCAACTGGAGCACATGCTTCTTGGAAGGTCTGTTAGTACAGTTAACCGTACAGTAAGACAACATTCGTCTGGTATTTGCATGAAAAAATCTCCAAAAGGCACAACAGGGTGCCGATACCAAGTTCCGTGACTGAAATTAGCAGAGTGAGGCTGCCTTGAAACGTTGAACACTTGAAACACTTCTATGAGAGATTAGTTGGACTTAATGGGTGGACCAAAACACATTGACAGGTTGGGCTCGGAAAGAAAAGGCAAAAGCAATAGGTCTCAAAAGGGAAACGCAATGACAATAGGTCTCGTAAGGGAAAGGCAAAAGTAAATTTATGTATTTATTTATTCTTTAATTCATTCATTCTTACAAATATTTCCACATTTATTTATTTATTATTTTATTCATTCATTAATTTTTACATTTCCACATTTATTTACTTATTATTTTATTCATTTATTGATTGTTCTGGCACTTTGGGTTTCCCATACTGACACAGCCCCGCTCATTTGCATAATGAGGCAGAAATGCATAGAGAAATAGAAAACATGGCATAAATAGATACATTTAAAAAAGAAGTAATTAATAAATAAAGTTGAAGATTATAATCGACAATAAATAAGGTAATTAATACAAAGGAATAAATAAAGAAGCTAATTAAAAGAGATATATACATTTATTACTCATTGTATAATTTAATTAATGCCTACATTTATTTATTTACTATGTTTTTGTGCATTTAATTGTATGTTTATTTATTTAGCATATATTTATTTCTGTATTTATTTCCGATTACATCCTCTATGTGTGTGAAACGGACTTGGGAGGAAAAAATATATATAAAGCACATTTCAAAGAAGTAAGTAGCCTTACTGTTACATCTTAAAAACCTACGACATGTAGTAGCCTACAAGCCTCGTGGTACAGGCCCCTGATGAGTGTGGGTTACACCTTTTTTCTTTATTTAAACATAATTAGCCCCAGGCCACTAAATCTGACAAACCATATTTTCATGAGATATTTTATCCACAGTTTGGATTGGCCCAATTACTTTATACTTTAGAATCGTCTTGGGACATCTTGAAATTAGATCTAAAAGAAAGGCCAGAGTTCAATCACTCACCAGCTGACTGCTAGGTCTCAACTTGGTGTCCAGTGTAACGACTCTGAAATGTACTGAGAGGAATACAAAGAGATTATACAAAGCTTTTACAGCTAATCTACACCAGTGTTAAACATCCTGACAGACTACTGAAACTAACATTCTGTCAACTCAGAAACTGCAGTGAATTAGATCATTTCATCATTACTATCAAATCTTAAAGTTAGATAAGGTCACAAAAATAGATAATTTACCATTGGTTTATACATTACTGCCTCTGTTGTCTGTCTTCCATTATTTAAGATTAAAACAATACAGTTTATTGTCACAGGACATCTACAGCCAATTCCAACATACTTAAACTAATACCACACAAACAGTTATGTGTTTTGATGTTATTGAACACACCATGTAAACATTCACAGTGCAGGGTAGTAAAAGTATTTGAACCCTTGGATTTGAGAATTGGTTGACCCTCCTTTGGCAGCAATCATTTCAACCAACCGACCTGTGGTTGCAGATCAGACCCGAGTAACAGTCAGGAGGAATTTTGGACCATTCCTCTTTACAAAACTGTTACCCTTTCTGGCTATGAGGCAGTGAAGCAGCTCCAAATCATGATTCCCCCTCCACCATACTACACAGTTGAAATGATGAAATCAATTTTTTCTCCAACATAGGGCTGTGTGTTCCTTCCAAACAACTCAACTTTTGTTTCATCTGTCACCAGAATGTTTCACCAGTAACGCTGTGGGACATCCAGGTGCTTTTGAAAACGTGCAGCAATGTTTTTTTGGACAGCAGTGGCTTCCTCCGTGGTGAACTCCATTGTTGTTTATTGTTTTATGTATCGTAGAGTCGTCAAAAGAGATGTTAACGTGTTGCAGCGATATCTGTAAGTCTTCAGCTAACCCTCTAGGATTCTTCTTAACCTCAGTGAGCATTCTGCGCAGTTCACATGCAGTCATCATGCAGGACTTCCATAAGCGGAGGTAGCATGGGGGTGGCCGACACAGGGCCCACACTGGTAGGGGCCCACTGCGCGGACTATGAAGTTTTGCTCAGCTGATTATAGTGGACATGAAGAAACAACATCGGTATGTGATAATACACTGTACTGGAAGAATTCAGCAGCTCTTATAAAAGGAAACAGTCCATTCACTCATGGTTTCAATGGTAAACCACCACATCAACGACAATTACCAACAAACACACTAGATTCTAAGGACACACGTTTTAATAAAAATAAATCATAAAGTAACATTTGTATTTCAAACAAATGGCAAACTTATTAGCACATTTTAACAAAACTCCCTTCACCCTCATGCATCATGGGAATCCTGAGGGAGGGGCGTAGGCTGCGTGTGCGCAGCGGTTTATTTACAGCGTCAACTTCCACTTGAAGCCTCTTTCTTCAACGAAGCGTGTAGCCTGTCCCACATTAATGACTTGTTTTTAATCGTCCTTTTTGTCTCATGTTTGTTAGCCATTGCTAACTCCTACTACATTCTTCAAAGCTCTTGTTTCTCATCTTAACGGGTGCATCTAGCAACTACCACAGGGAGCATTTCAGAATAAGAGCATTTTACCTGCTGGACTTTGCCGACATGTTTAGATTTTGTTTATGATTAAGTAATGATTTTTTTGTCTGATTTAACTGTGTTTATTGTTGATATATGAAGTCTTTAACGGACCAAATTCTCTGCCGTTTCTGTGTCTGACTTCCTGCCCTGTTCATGTGCGCTGTGCTGCTTGACGCTGGGATGCTTCCTAGACGCACTCAGTCTGCGGATGCACTGCAGCGCTTCTGGTGTATAAGCACAAACATTTAGTAGAAAGGCTGCTCCGGCAGCAGCGAAGCAGATGGACTCTGTGGACTTTCAGAGTGAGTCTGGGGTCATGTAAACTTGGTTAATATGTGTTTGTAGCAGGTGGGCCCACGATGAAGCTCCTGTCAGCTGTGCTGACAGTCTAGCTCCGCCCCCGAGGACGGCCACTCCTAGGGAGCATAGCAACAGTGCTGAACTTTCCCCATTTGTACACAGTCTGCTTACTGTGGACTGATGAACATCAAGGCTTTTAGAGATACTTTTGTAACAATTCTTTATCTTAGGGAGCTCTTTTGTTTGAGAGCTCTTTTAAATTAGGCATGGTTCACATCAGGCAATGTTTTATGAGAATAGCAAAATTAAAATAGGTGTGTTTTTTTATAGAGCAGGGCAGCTCTACCCAACACCTCCAATCTTGTCTCATTGATTGAACTTCACTGTGGCTGACTCCTTACTCCAATTATCTTTTGGCGAAGTCATTAGCCTACGGGTTCACATATTTTTTCCACCCTGCACTGTGAATATTTACACGGTGTGTTCAATAAGAACATGAAAACCTATTACAATTGTTTGTGTGTGGATTTAGTTGAAGCAGACCTGGCTGGTTTCTGTGCTTTTAACCTGTGCTGCCTGTTGATGTTCTCAGACACACAATTCATTTCCACTAAATAGCCTCACCTACCTTAGTGTTATCCTGAAGATGTCTAGATACAAGATATTCTGACATTGTGGCACTGAGTTTTCTACCCAATGCTACCCAACATCTGCAATTGTTTGTAAAGGGGAGACCTGTCTTTGTATGGTACCATACTGTTACAACATAATAGATAATCAGCTCAAGGTTACCTGTTTGTCCAGGGAGGTAGATCGGTTTATCGGTTTGGACAAATGTCATTGGTTGATAGACTTTGATCATGACTTTCCTGACTTTTCTAGAGTAAAAATTGTCACCTTGTACCTTTACCTCCAGCTTCTTCACCACTTGATTCTGCACTAAAGGAACCTGCAAAGGAAAGATATTTTATTAAGGTTCTCCAACATAAGGAGAGTGCTTTCTTAATGAACAGATTTTCAAACTATGTTGTGGAATAGTCCATCTTGAGAGCTGACCTTAAATTGAGTGCAGGTATGAAACTTTTTACTGGATGTCTTCTTGAAAAGTGTTGTATTCTGCTCTTGGGGCATCAAAGTGACGGTCATGACCAGAGTCTCGTTGGGCTGCAGGAGACTCGCACAGAGTTTGGTCTCAGCTCCAGCTTCAAGAACTGCAGGAATGGCCACCATGTACTGCCTACAGACACAGACACATATGGTAGATACTTTAATTGATCTCATATGAAAGAATGTGTTGGTACCATGGCCGTAACTAGCTATGAGTACGTCGAAGTCCGGACCTCCATAATTATATGTAGGATATAGCCTATCAATAAAAAAATTAATAAAAATCATTGATAACATGATTAACTTAAATTAAGGCTTTAGGACCATGCAGACGTAGCTGATTACACCATCGCAACGCTCATTTCAAGTTGAAAAGCTTCCCTATCAGTGTACAGACTTGAAGCACATGAAAATTACTGAGAGCACCACTCTTTGCGGGCAGCGTTTTGGCAGAAAAATCTGTTTTGTGAATTTCCGGGTGGGTGACACGCTGTGCACATTTACGCGTGAGTCAGTAACAATATGTTTTTAATTAGGATTATTGGTTGCTTTTAAAGCAATACGTTTTACATCCAATCAAAGTTAGGATCTCCAGAGTTATGGTCTTGGCTGGTCTTGAAATAAAGTCCTGAGTCCTTAATGTCCGAGACCGAGACAAGACGGAGTACAAATGTACAAAAACTACAAAACAGTTGATAGCATCATTTTTCTCAACCAGCTTCTTTATGAGTGATCTAAACATGTAATAACAGAAAATACTTTTACTGTCTGAGTGTCTTCTTGGAAAGGTCAAAATGTCTCTGTCAACCTGTGTCTGTTTTAGTTGGATCCACTGGAGCAGTAGAAATGTTAGAGACCAACATCAATACAACAATAAAGAAACCACCTGGAAAGCTACAATGACTGGTAATGATGGGGTAAATCTGAGAAAATAATTAGTTGGTGGGAGGAGGGTGGATGATTTATGCGTAGCTTACATGATTATTCAGATATTGTCAATCTGCCCATCACACTAGTTAATTTTTTTAACCTTTATTTAACAAGGTGAGTCTAATTGAGATTAAAATCTCTTTTGCAAGAGAGACCTGGTCAAGACGTAGCATAAAAAAAACATAAAGGACAAGTTTCCAACACATAAAAGATATTTATCATACATACATAAGTAACACAAGCCCCTTTGTTGAATAAGGCAGAATACAACTTTATAAACAGTGACAATGTCCAATGTTCACCTGCTCCATATCCTAGAGTTGAAACATACTGTCTATAAGAAATAAAGGCAGTCAGTTTCAACGAGTTCTGAAGAAGGTTCCAAGCATAAATCTGGACCTCACTAATTTCTAAAGCCTGGTTACAGCCCTGGTTGGTACAGTACATTTCACTGACTAAATTACACAAATGACTGTATGCTACCAATAGTTTTTAGATAGTACAGGTAAACTTACGGTCCTGCAAACGCTTGACCCACACACATCCAACTCAGCCAGACAAACAGTGTCCATGTCCATAAATGAATCCCAGGATCACCCATGACTGAATGAGATGAGCCTTTGAGTCCACATCTGTTAAATAAACTCAGATAGAAATCTATCCTTTGACCCCATATCACACAAACACACTCAACATTTCTGGGTATCCTTTAAGTCAATCATTTACAGTAAAGACAAAGCCAAAATCTTAATGTGCAGATGTATGTAATAGAAGAGAATGGGAATTAGGCTGTTCATTTATTGTATAATCAACTAATTTAGAAGGCATACAGGTTCGTTATACTGAGAGGCAGGATACATGGTTCCATCCAACAGTAATTCTTTATTATCACTATTAAAACACTACTACAAATGGCAGATAAAAACAGCATCTACACATTCATTATGTAGCATGTCTATGTATGATTTTGATAAAATGATGAAAATGAATATTTCATAAATATTAACTCATAAACCTCGAAATAGGGCACCACCGGAGATTCAATTCGCCCAGAGTCTGCGGACCTCTGGGGGAAGTTTTTAGTAATTATATAATTATTCACTAGTGATCAGTTAGTTAATAATTGCTCAATTATCTTAAATCAATCAGTCAATCTCATATCGAAGGGGTAAATCCTCATGACAGGGACTTGGAGTTAGACAATACACACACACAATTCCTGTAATTACGATGAAATTTATTAAATAACTAAGGTGAAATAAATGCGGTTAAATACACAAAGAAATAAGCAATGGCTAACAAACATGAGACAAACAAGAATGTGGAGTTCTATTGTAAATTGGGTTCTCTTGTGGGGAGAATTTGATTCATATGGGCAGCTAATGAATGCAAGCTATGAGTTTTAAGGGTTAAAGATAATCTATTAAAAAACTATTGGGCATCACTGACCACAGAATGCAGGGTTTTAGTCTTACTGCTTGTCGTTTCTCCCAGCCAGGTTGCTGGTCGGCGGCCTCACACTGGCGGAGTTCCGTGCGTTCTCGGTTAGGAATGCTTAAAGCTGGCAGAGTGAGCCGGTCGCTCACTCTTCCAGGGAATTGCTCCAGAGGTCCGTCTTTGTTGGCTTATTGAAGAAACTCACAGCGGGGGCCTTTCCAACCCTGGCTCTGGTCAGAGGTTTGGTCGTCCATTGTTACTGCTGGTGGACCCATGTGCCTGGTTCCGGGCGTAGGTTAGCTTGACGAATAAAGCTTAAAAGAACTTTGTTGTTCTTTAATTAAAATTGTCTAACTTAACAGTCTGATAACCTTTGACAAAACAAAACCAAAGAAAATAAAAGGCAAGTAAGTTGCTGGAAGCGAGGAAAAAAGCAGAGGTTGAGGTGTGTGGCTTGAAACGAACAACGAGCTTTCGCGGCACAACAAACTTCTTAGGGCGTTGCTGGGAGAGGGAGCAGGCTGAGCGCGTGCCGAAGTGCAGGTGAAGAGGGCAAGAGGACAAGAGAGCGAGTGAGCGTGTGTCGCTGCTTTTGTCTGTTGGGGCGTGGTTCCCAGAGGGCAGTCCTTTGTTCCCCTGAGGGCTTGTTTCCGGTTTTCCTAGAGACTGTCTTTTAATATGTCTATTCTAAAATCTATTTGCACGTATTGTAATCAAATGTCTTCCCACAATCAAACATTAATTGTCAAACGGTTATACCGTTCTTAGTTTTAAGCATTTGATAAAAAGGAAAACAATTGTCAGTAGTTAAACCTTAAGGTTAGCATTTCCTAGGAATCACATCAGATGAGAGGAACTTAACCAGCTTCCTGGATAATATTAGTTATATATTGGTACTTAGAGAATATAAGCAAGATATAATGGCATCAGATTATGAACAGGTAAATACAGAGTGACATTTATACATTAAACGGCATTTTAGAACGATGGCATGTAATACTTATTTTGTCCACTTGGGGGAGCTCTGGTTCCATGAGGAGTAGATATTCAACTTTGAGCTTCACCACTTGACCTAGGAGCTGGGAAATTTAGTTATTTAACATTAAATTCGAGCTGGAAAATTTATGGAGTAGTATAGGATGACATTTCTTTATCATCATTTCTAAAGGAAGTGTCAAAGTGTTGGGAACAAAGCATTGGTTACAACATAAAATGAAAAAATTTCATGGATCCTTGCTGAAAATTAAAACACTGCAAAATTAACTTATTTAGATTATTTTCAACAACATGGTAACATAACTACTAACCTAAGAGGCAAACGCCACTACTAACTTAGCAAGGATTATTATTTAAACAGAATAAAATACAGTTTATAATGAAACATTTGTTGGCTCAAGAAAAACAGTGGTTGTTAGTGTATCCCCTTTCGAAATCCTGGCTTATCACATTTGCACATCAGCTAAAAGAAGAGGGAGTGGTGTTTTATGGCTCAGCCATTCTGTGGGAAAAGGAATCAGGTTCGAACAGGACGGGTGGTACTTTTGGGGGTGGTTTCCCAGACAGAGCCTAAAATAAATGAGGACTAGGCTAATCCTACTGAAATTAATACGGACTTAAAAAATGGCTTTCCGAGACATTGGTTTATTTGAGATTAAGTAGCACCCGACTAGGGAGTTGCAGACTAAGGTTAATAAGGACTAACTAGCTACTCTTTGTGAAGCCTGATTAGAGTAATGTTGTGCACTCGGTGCATACCTGAGGTTGCTCCAAAAACAGCATAATTCAGCTACAGAAAACAAGAGTGCTTGGACTTCAGTTTGTAATGAATTTAACTCGAATGAAAAATTAAGCAACAGGACACTTCAACAACTTCAGGTAAGCTACTGTATTGTTGTTGGTCTACTTTTACATGTCAGTCACTTTGAAATGTTGCTTCATTGTGATCCAAGTAAACAACATCATACAGAATTTTATATTTTTTATATTGTCCCATCTTTCTAAGATCCTGTGGAAAAACATAAAAATGAACTTAAAGAAGACAAATGCTGTTGTACATAGGGAGCGTTTCAAGACTGGTGGTGGACCCCCAGAAAGACCGGAGACCGACGACCTAGAGACTTGTTGACTTCGATCACTGATAGCCAGCAGCCCCTGGAAGGTATCCCTGATGATGATCATTTGGACAGTTCAGATGGGGCCCCGTTCCAATCCTCATTTGGTAGGCCACATTAATTTAATATGTGCCATCCTTAAACATCCTTAAACTGCTGGGAATATGTATTGTTTTCAGTCATTTTTTGCAGTCCTATAACCAGAAATATTTCATGAACTTTTAAATACATATTGTTCACTAATGCTGCAATATAATACTTTTCAGATGATCACCAGAGCTTGGAGGTCCTGAGACAGGATGAAAGTCAGCCCACTACAGCTGCAGCAGCCTGGAGGGAAGATGGTGTCACTAATTCTGGCCAGATGAGAAGGACCAAGAGGCTGACCATGCACGGGAAACTGGCCATGGAATTCCATGAGCACAAATTAAAGCATTTAAAAGATGAACATGAAATAAAGATGAAAATACTTCATGTTGAGTTAGCCATGAAGGAGGAACAGAGAAACATGAAGCAGCAGCAGTACCAATGTTCTACTGAAACCAGCACCAGTTCAGGGTCCCGATATCTCAATTTGTGAAATAAAACTTTTGTTCATAATCAATCTGTGGCAATTGTTGTCTTCAATCATCTGAGGTAAACTTCATTGTGAGAAGTGCTGCAAAGAAAAGGCATCTCTGCATGCCAGTCCATACCTTTCATTGTCTGGCTCAACCATGGGAAGATCTGCTTCATCCCTATGTTCCATTTGAGGATCTGGGGAGCCATGCTGTTAGAGGTAATTGTGAAGAACTGCTGTTGCAATTATGACAATACAGCATCTTCTTGGTTCAAAGCGCAATGTGTTTCTGAGACACTGGAAACGACTCTTCCATACACCAAACATGCGCTCTACTGTGCCTCTGGTATGGATATGAGCTTGGTTGTACCGCTACTGCTCAAGTGTGCAGGTAAGGGGTGAACAAGAAGTTGGTCTGGGCATACCCTCTGTCACCAAGTATGATTCCACTTTGTGAGCACCTTTAAACTGATCGTACAGACAGGAGTTCGGGAAAATTCTTGAGTCATGAGTTGCACCTTTCCAATGTACAACAATGTTGGAGAACTGCATAGTGGGAGTGCACACACCTTGTACATTTTTTGAGAACCAGTTTTTACGATTTATATACTCATCAGAATCTGCAGTAGAGGGACACTTTATTGGAATATGACATCCATCAATACAGGAAATGACTCCAGGGAAGTTTCTATATGCAAAGAACTCCACCTTGTAGTTGGCTTGGCCAGCAGCATCAGGAAACTTGATGTAGTCGTCCTTCAGTTCACATATAGCTTTGCACACTTTGTGAACTATTTTGCACACAGTTGGTTCACTTACGCCACACAAATCGCCTGTTTCACGATGGAAGGTTCCACATGCCAAAAACCTTAAGGTGATCAGTACTTGTAGCGAAGGAGGGATAAGCATTCCCCTACAGGAATCAGATGAAAGGCTTGTGTCAAGCAGAATAATTAGTCTGCTGCAGTTGCTTTGTACATGCGAAAACGGTCACGAAAGTTGATTTCATCATTCAGCGGGTTGCTCCTGTCCATAACCACCCTTCTGTCTGGTCTAAATGGAGCTCTTTCATCATCATTAATATAGTCCAGGTAATCCATTTTCCTCTATTCCTAATGTCAATCTGGAGGCCAACAGTCGGAGGCCGACTACTTTAAACCATGTCTGAGAAATCCAATTCCAGTTAGTCCGGCTTAACTCTCCATTTTAGTCTGGTACGCTTAATCTCTCTCTGGGTTCATAATCTTACTAAGGGGTTGTACCAGAACAGGTTTACATGGTTTTATTTTCAAAAAACACCATATTTTTGTCATCCTGCACATTGCTGCAGCTCTTCTTTTCACCCTGTGTTGAAGGCTTCAAATTTTTCCAAAGTTTCACAAGACCAGATTTTTTTGTACATCAACATTTCTGTCCATCATCCAGATGTCTCTTGATTTAAGTTAAAACCTTACAAAATTATTCAGAACATAATGACAGAATAACAGCGGTACGAACGTTAAAACTATCTTACAACTGTGGGTCTTTACTCTGCTGTTGTTGCTGGACTCTGCTGTGTTGGCTGCAGTGGTCTGCGTGTCTGAGGGCTCTGTGAGCTGATCTGGCCGGTCGGCCCGTTAGCTCCCCCTGCTGACGGTTGCGGAGCGTCACAACGCCGAAAAGTATTGAGCACATTTTCGATTCGCCATCATTTTTAGTAAAATTGCCATTATTCGATATCTACACAGTTCATTTCTCACCTCAAGACTTCTCAGAAGTGGATTTAGTAATGAAATAACATACAAAACGTTCTGTTCTGGCCTCTCTCTCAGCTTCTTTCCACCCCTCGCTTGAATGCCGAAATGAATGCTGGGATATATCTGCTGTCAAGTTCACACAAGTTACCAACCGATGCATCCTCTGTAAAATGGGCTTGTCAAGAACATTTCCGGGATTTTTAACCATTCTTGCCAAAATGCAAACTTGGGCCACAAAAGATGACGTGTTCTTGTGTTCTTATGAAACAAGTACAGGCAAGAACATGGATTAAGAAAGGCCCCACGTCTCTAAATGATCTTTGTTGGGAGTTGCACATGTTCAGTACCTAGTTATGGACTACTAGCCAATCAGAAGCAGAGTAGGGCGGGCCCTGAGAAGCCGGTATACACGGCTTCGGTTCAGCTGTATATGTTCCCCTTACCAGCTTGGCAACATGGACTGGAGCAAGAGTTTCAGAGTGGTGAGTTATGACTAATGTATCTTTCATCCATAAAGTTTTAACTGAGCTCTGTCTCTACATCACAGTAACAACTTTATGTCCATTGACTGCCTGGAGGGTAGCTCGTGTTTGGAAGGGAGAGGAAAGGCAGCAGGTGGACATCTTGTCATCGTGTGCTCCAGCAGCTGAGTGTTTTTCTACCGGTGTTTTTGAGGGCGTGTCGGACTATGACAGCATTATGACATGCATTTTGCTGTGGTGTTGTTCAGAGCAGAGTTTTCTGTGGGAGATGGGAACTCCCTCTGGGGTGGACTTTGGGCTTTTTCACTTTGCAAACCTATTACATGCAAAAAAAATATATATAAAAAAAAGGATATGTAACTCAATAAAGGAGGGAAAAAGCAAAAAATATCACCTCTTTGAAATAATATGAATTGTAACATGATTAGTCATACTCTGAATTATTGTTGAGCTTATTTATGTCACATTCCTCATATACAGTTGAAATGACTGCTAATGATAACGGCCTCCAAATAAGTTATAATTACATGAAATGTTGGTTATGAAAAATTATTTTAATCATGTTTAGTTAGCATAAAATGCTAAAAAGGGAGGAATGTAATAGCAATACAAAACATATTGATGTACTGACCATTATTAGTGATTTATGTAACTCAGTGACTCAAACGATAATGTGGTGCTGAATATGTGGACAGACAAATCATCATCATCACACTGTACTTTGGTGACAACATGTAACTGAGATGTGACCCTGAGCCACAAAAATAACAGGCTCCTCCCATCTGTACTCATTCAAGTGTGCACGTACTCTGACATATGCGTTTTGCTGTGAGTCTGTCCGCTTTTGATTTGAATAAACCTCAAAGTATTTATTTCAGCAAGAACTTCCATCACAATACCATGATGACAGGATGAGGTCTGATCGCCAAAGACCATTTGTTACGTTCTGCTAGTGTACTGACACGGGAAACAGTGGTTTAAACGGAACAGGTAAAATTTGTGGTCATTATTTAAACAAATGGTAGAAACTTACAGTGTAGGTGAGGCAGTCCAAAACAACACAAAGTAAATCCAGATACAGAAATTAAAATCCACAAATCCAAATGAAAGGGTAAATCCACAAGACATTGTGGAAAACATGAGGAACAGAATCAGAATCAAAAATACTTTATTGATCCCCGAGGGAAAATTCTTGAACACTGGACGTAATTATAAACACAGGTTGAAACAATGAACTGGCACCCAGTGAAAGGATCAGACCAACCAAATACACCAGAGGGGTGGACATAAATAGACACAGCTTATTCACATTAGACAAATCAATGAGCACACATACAGGAAGCAAAACAAGACAAAGACACCAGGGACAGAACAACTACAAAATAAAACAGGAAACACTGAAAACATCTGTGACACCATTCATGCTTCCCATATTCAATGTGCACATGTCAAAGTATCCATTCACTCAGATGAAGTCTCTCCTAATTGATCAGTAATTGCATTTTATACTTGTTCTGGGCATCAATGTCACATTAAGAAAGAAAATAATTGGCCGAAAATAGCAAATAAAGCACTTTCGGTGTTCGGCCTAATAAGTCAAAAGACCGAAGAAATTGTAACGAACAATTACATCGTCATGTCGTCAGTGTGGAAGCATTTTAAAGTGTCTGAGAAAGACGCAAAAATTGCCGTTTGCAGACACTGTTCTGCTGAATCTCCTAGCACATCCACTCCATCTGTGGCTGACTTCTTAGAAAAGGCAACAAACGGTCTGACCCTCTTCGAGTGTTTCTGAGAAGGCGATTAAGCTAGCCGCACCTAAATTTGGAGTGCACACGTATTCAAGCCTTTATGGTAAATCCACTGAAATGGACCAGAGCGAGCTGACAGGCAGGTTAGTGACTTTATCCTGTCAGTTTCGCTCTTTACAAAGACAATTGTTGCAGTATGAGAGTCCTACCTGAAGAGAGGCTGTGAAGTCTTCATGTTACGCCATACAAGAACCACATACAACATTATTTATCAAATTGGGTTGGACTTGAAGAAGAATTTAGCGCGAGGATACACATGTGACAACGTCTGGTTTTCAAAATGAGGTGTCTATACAGTCTGGAAATAAGATTAATTGGATTGGGGACTTTTTCTATTTTCTTCACAATCCATGACATGCATGCAACACAAAACAATACATTTACAGAGGCAGGCAGAGGGGTGAAGGAGTGGGGGAGATTCTCATTGGCCTCGTGTCCTACCCCTGGAACCCCGCGCGTCGGGGGTGCTGTGGGGTTGGTGACGGCCTTGCCTGATGTGGGGTGGGCTGGGGGGGGGTCGGGCCTCCCCTGGTTGTGGGGGCCCGCCCTTGACCTAGGGTTCTGGGGACTCGGGCTTGTGGCCTTTGCTCATTTCTGGGCGGGTGGTGTGTCCCTGGGCCTGGGGGCCCGATGTCTCCTCTCCTCGCCTGGGCCCTCTTCGGCAGAGGTGAGGCTCCCGCTGCTTTCCCCTGCCAGCTCTCTCACAGTGGGGGCATTCGGGAGTCTCTGGGGCGCATGGCCGGTGTTGTCGGGGTAGGTTTTGGTGCTCCTCCTTGGGGGTGCTTGACTGGGGGGGCTGGGCCCCTGTCCGGGGGATGAGATCGGCCTCAGGGGCTGCTGTCACTGCCTGCACTGTAGAGAGGGATGCCTCTAGCTGGGCTGGGGGACCGTTGGCCTGGTTCTCCCGCGTTATCGCTCCCTGGCAACATGCGGTCTGGGGTCCTTTGCGCTTTGGGGGGTCGCAGGGTGCCCTGGCTTCTGGGGGTGGGGGTCTCTGCGCGGGTTGATCTGATTGCGGTTTGGTGGGCTGCAGTGGGATTGTGGGGCGATTGTCGATGCATCTTGATGCATTATGCTTTTTCCCTGGGCAGGGTCTCTGAATGGCTGCTGGGCGTTTAGTTTGTGCATTGGAGTCCGGGGGAGGCATTTCCTCGTTGGCTTGGAGGGACCTGTTTGCGTCCCTGTTTTGCTTCGTTGGCTTCGGATTGATGCTTCCCCATTTCTCTGTCGGCCAGTTGTTGGACCCCTCTGGATACTGAGGTATATAGTTAGTTTTCGGGATGTGCAGTGTGGGTGCGGGGCAGGGCTGTGCTCCGGTTTGTTCTGGGTTTGTGCCTGGAGTTCTCGGCCCTTGACAGGTGGGTGGGTTGTTGGTGGCATGCAGCTGAGCTAGTTGATTTTGCCTCATTGCTGGTTTGGCTGGTGTTGCACGGCGGCCGGGGCGTGTGCTGGGCATGGGGGATGTCGGCTGGCGCCGGCAGCCTTAGTTTTTTTACCTCGCACGCGGGATTCACGGGGGGCTGCTGGGCATTGGGTGTCGCCGTGCTCGCACAGTGTGCGTTTTGGGCTCGTCACTTGTGTGTCTATGTTGTGTGCGCGCCGCGGTCGGTCCGGGTGCTGCTCTTCCGCGGGTTTTTTTGCGTTCCGTCGGCATTACGTTGTCAACTGGCATTTGGGTCGGGGTCTTCTGCGTTTGCGTCGCAGTGCATCTGGGAGTCTGTTTTTTTTTTTTAATTGATTTATTCTTTTTCTTTCTCCCACCCCTATTGGCTACTGGGGTTCTTGCCTGCCTGTTGCTGGGGTAGGTGTGGCACAGTCGTGGCATCCCACTCTCACTAACAACTACATTCTTTAACAGGCTTATGCGTACACACATGTACACACACACACACACACACATACAGACATTCACCCACACGCACACAGACACAATCAGTCTCACACATAGACACAAACAAATTTAGGTTGTCCCTGGTAGAATTATTCCTGATGCCTTTCTTTCAGTTACTTATTTAAATTAATTATTATTCCAGCTCTCGTGGCTGTGCTGTGTTGCTTATTTAGTGTGTGTGACTGTTTCTTGTTTTCATTTTTCTCTTAGTTGTGTTACTATGTCAGCTGTTCATTGCTGCTGTTCGGCTGGTTGTCTTTTACTATTATTATTATTTTTATTGTTTGTTTTTGTTTGTGTTTGTTGTGTTTTTCTCCTCCTCCCCCTCTCTGTTCTATTGCAGGTTTCGTTGCTTTCTGCAATTGGTGTTTCCCACAGCTTTTCCCTGTTGTCCCCACCTTCCATCCCCCTTCTCTTACAGGTGTTGTCCTTTCTCTGTGCTCTCTGTTTGTGCCCCCCCATCCCCGTGTCTGCCCCCCTGTCCGGCCCGGTGACAAATCAATACATAACTAAATAAATAATAAGACAGACAAAGGAGTATTTTAATACTCTCTTGTTAAAGTAAAATCTGTCTAACACAATATGGTATCCAGGTCATTATACTCTATACCAGGCTGCTGGGCAGGACAGGTTTAAAAAAAGAAAAAAAAATGTATGTAAATGTATGTAATTTACTTGACCAGACCCTCTTGGGCCTCGGACCCTCCCACCATAGTCTCTCGAAATCCTGTGGGAAATACTGAGTAAAAAGCATATTTTGACATTTCAGTTTATGCAATGGTAAAAAAAAAAAGCAAAATAAATGGAAAAAATGTGAATGTATTGTACACATTTTTTTCATTATATTCGGCTAGAATTTTCATTAGGGTGCATCCCTAACACTATATAAGTTATTATTATTATCCCATCTTGTTTCCATGAGCACTCAAGTGCTTTGCACACCTCCAGATATGAAAATACCAAAAGTGCAACACCTTTAAGTGTCATGTTAATGACAGGACTTCTTCAGTCTAATGGATATTGGTAACTGGAGTTCTACAACAGTGCCCTTTACACTGTGTGGGATATTTGATTTTGCCATGTAAACAGTGCTTATCCTGAGTAGATCATTTTCTAGGAAACAAACCTGTGTGGTCATCCTCAAACAACGCTGATGGGTTAAAGTACACTAAAGCGCATCGCCCACATGTCTGCCAAATATTTGGGATGGGGGGGGGGTCAGCTGCTGGTTGCGTTACCTGTCGCGT